CACGATACTCATTGTACCACAACAATCATTCATTTTACATAGACTTACTGCCTGCTATTCAGTAACTAATTTGGCAAGGTACTGAACATATGTTTTATTCGGACATTGTCCATCAATGATGTGTACAAACATACTACTACGTGTAGTAGTACCACTCTGTTTGGATTCCAATATACATTAAAATTAATTGATTTACAAAACACTACCACAACATCATCGATAACAGGACCTGTTGTAAAACTACATTTAACCATAATTGTTAATTGTTACAATAGTAATTAAAGGGAAAATATGTCAGTCGATATGTGACGGCAAAGGTGTAATGGTCAGATTCATTTTTAAAAATTCAGTTATGTAGTGATGATGACTATTGATTGGTAAGTGCTATTTCAGTCCATGCCATAATGTGGATGAAACATATTAAAATATGAACCGTTCTTTATGCAGAACCGTGCTCAGGCACCAGTTCGCACGTATTTAAAACCTTGCCGGGGGCACATGTATGTTCTTGGATAGGCTGAAACTAGCCAGTGCCGTGTCTGATCTGTACTCTTGACAGGCAAAGAACTGCGTATTTATACGATTCTGGATACGATACATTCAAGTTCTCTATGTTGGCCACTTGCTGCATTTTTTCAGACTCCGACAAAAAAAGGATACAAAAATTGTCATTCATGTAAAAAGACAAATACCCAGTTCTTTTACTAATATCTTATATTATCTTATCTTACCATTGAAATACCAGTAAAAGTGGTATTTCAATGGTAGTCGAGGCATGAAGCCATTTGATGCATTCAGATAAAATCACGGTCTTTCTACTTTTGGTACTGCGAATTTGACTGAGAGACAGTCAACTCTGTGCCATAAGATGGATTACTAGCACACGAGGGTTCACTGTTGGCCTGAGAAAGAACCCGCCCTGTCTGAGGAATTTCACCATAAGAAGGATTTAAAGTATCTTCTGATTTTCTGATGGCCTGAGACATGTTGGATTCAGTGATGGTCTGAGACATGCCCTGGTGTGCCCGATCATGGCCACTGGTCATTGCAGTGGCAGTGGCGATTGTGCCAGTTTCAATGATGGCCTGAACCTGAAACTGCCTTGTCTGATCTTGATGGTTATGAATATCGTCATTGTTGTCATCTTGGCCAATGGCCATTACAACTTCTTTGGCGTTTGTGTTAGATTCAGTGATAGCCTGAAACTGATCATGATTGTTGCCAACATCTTTACACTCGTTATCATGACCACTGGTCATCACAGAAACGGTTTGATTTGTGCGCCTACTCTTAACGAAAGCAGTTGGATCTCCGTCACTCCACGTGTACCTCATTATAAAAATAATGGCACCGATCAGGGCAAAGCCAACTACTGTAACCCAGATAGAGATAATGAGAGCAGCTATGGGCCTCCCTGGCGTAGGTTTTGGGGAGCTGCTGATTCCGGGGTTGTCTGAAGTGATTGCCAGGGGTGAAGCTAGAGTTGCTGTTGGTTTGTTAGTTTTGCCTGCAAGACACGCTGTCAAGCCAGCATAGTGTTTGAAGTACCAGAAATAGCGAGAGGTGACAGTGCCATTGTTAGGGTTATTAGAGCTTACTTTTATGTCAGCTGGCAGTGTAGCAATGGAGGTCGAGCCTACAGAATACGCTGTTGGGCTAGCATGGCTTTCTGTGTTGCCAAACAAAGGTGTTGACACAGTTACTGTTGTCAGTTTTGATGTGGTTGGCTTTTTATATGTCACTTCCTTAGCGTTACCAACTAAAGATGTTAACATTGCAGATGAGGTTTGGATATCAACACTTAGTGTTGATACGGTGGGCTCTTTACATATCAATTCTTCTGTGTTAACCTCTGCAAGCTTCTGTCCCTTGAATTTGGAGGGTTGGTCACATACTATGTGCTCTTTGAATGAAGGAAATTTAGTCGTGTTTGCCCTGAGGGCAGCCATTCTGCAATCACAGTGCCAAGGGTTTCTCTCAAGTTTTATGACAGGAATAGATGGCGACAAGCCATACGCTAAAGGGAAAATGGCAAACATCTTGTTCGACCGAAGGTCCAATTTCTGGAGTTGGGACAGATTTGAAAGTGCACCAGCCTCAATCATTGTTATCTGGTTTTCGCCCAGGAACAACTGTTGTAGCAAATGTAGATTTCCAAATGTACCAGATTGAATCATTGTTATCTGGTTAAACGACAGAAATAGTACTTTGAGCTGGGAAAGATTTGCAAATACATCAGTCTGAATCGTTTTTATTTTGTTAGCGGACAGGTCCAACTTGCGGAGTTGGGTTAGATTTGCAAGTGAACCAGGTTGAATCATTGTTATCTGGTTGCGGCCCAGGAACAACTGTTGTAGCAAGTGTAGATTTGCAAGTGTACCAGACTGAATCACCGTTATGTGGTTATCGGACAGGAATAAATTCTTTAACTGTTGTAGATTTGCAAGCGTACCTGGCTGAATCGTTGCTATCTGGTTGTTGGCCAGGGCCAACCATTGTAGCTTGGGTGTATTTCTAAATGTACAGGGTTGGATGTTGCTTATTTTGTTATTCATTAAGAACAACTTTACGAGCTTGGGTAGATTGGGGAAACAATCAACAATGTGAATGCCATTCCAATCCAAATCCAAGTGATCCAAATTCTTGTATCGTAACAGCTCAGACTGACAAAGAATCGGAATAGAATTATATCTGAAACTTAAACGCTTGGTGGATGTTTTGAAGTCCTGTGGGATACTGGTAAGGTCCTTATTGTCACACTGGCAGTGATAAAGATGTGAACACCTGCAGTCAGCTTCTGGCGTGGTCGTTTTCAGGATGATGAGAAGGAAAATTAGTAGTTTGCTTCCCATGTTGTCCCGCCACCTAAAAAGAACAGGAAGCCCTGTTACGCCAAAAGCCGTTACCTCTTGAAAAATGGAGGTATCGTTTTTGGTGTGTCTGTGTGCCTCTGTGTGTGTCCGCCTGTGTGTTTGTGTTTCCGCACATTTGTAGTCAACTTCAGAACGCCTTAATGGATTGTTATGATATTGGCTATGTTGGTAGGTCATGGGAAAACAAAGGTCAAGGTCAAATATGGGCCTCCTGGTGGCTGAACCTGCAGAACTTTCGGTTTTTGTATCTTTTGTCCTGGACATGCTACGGTCTTGGTTTTTGGGTGAAAGCTTTTCCTGTCAGGAATAAGTGGTGTGGGTTTTGTCCCCCAAGCAGCTTGTTCTGGAAGTGCAGGCGAGCTTCTGCCGAAATCGTTTAAAGCGGATAAGTCCAGAAAGGAACAACGTATTTTCATCATTTGTAGCATGTAGGTATGTTGATTGTCTTACGTAGTCTTACGTATGATGCTGATTTGATTCGAAAATGGTTACTCAATGATTTTAATATTTATGATTACGATTAAAATTATAATCATGATACAGGTCTCGATATACATGAATACTCGTTTTGAAAATTGTAATCATGGTTCAAGCCTCGATGTGTTTGAAGAACACGTGCTTATATGATTATGTAGTTGTTAATTTAGAGTGTAGAATACTGTACATAGAGCTGCGTTGATTGTCTGAAACTGGCTGTTTGAATATTAACATTAAGGTTGTTTACCGTTTTACCGGCGTTTTTATGACAGTCTTGTTTTCACCACAAGAAATCTGCAGAAGGATATAAAATTTACGTCTGAAAAAGTTTTCTTTCTCCTTTTACAGAAATGTTTGTCAAAATTACATTACAGTGTTTCTGGTGTATCTTGTCTTAAGGCGTTTAAAATAAACCTCTGTGTATAGCCGTGTGAAGTCCGTGTCACACTTAGCCGTATATGGCCTGCAAACACTAGCCGAATTCAAATTTGCCTCAAAGGCTTGGTACGTTGGTGTTCAGAGGAAGTTTCTGAATGTGTGGCTTCAAGAGATAAGCTGTTTGAAGCTTTGTAAGAATAAAAAAATCATACTTATCAACAGGTCTATAAACTCTACTGATCCCAACAGGCTACATGCAGGGTTCGAAATTCAATTTTGGGAATAGGTGCACTGCACCCAACCTAAAAATTTAGGTCCACAGAAAATTTTTTGGGTGGACCATATAAAACAAAACCTAATTACAGATCTTACTGCTCCTCTTCTGAGCTTGAATCTGAAATGAGAGCTGGCTTCAAAATCTTAAACAAGTACTACAACAAACATTTTCTGACACCTAGATGCCAAGAATACCCAGTATTACTTTTTACATTTAATATGTACAAAAATACCTACAAAAATATTTGGGTGCACCAGTGCACCCACAGAAAAAAAAATGGGTGCACAGTGCGCTAAGGTGCACATGTACCCAGTATTTCGAGCCCTGGCTACATGGCTACATACATTAAATGTCAGGGCACACAGGTCAGCACCCCTGGTGCCTTTTTCATGAAGCCTGCCCCTGTCACACATTCACGACCTTCCCCCTAATTTGTTCCCGAACACCAGCCGACCAGGTTCAGCTGACTTTTGCGAGCACTGTGGCCAGATTTAGGCTACGACTACCTTTGTTAACGAATCGAAACGAATTTGTGTTAAATTTGAGTCAAATTTAAACCCCGAACATGCCATAAAAACGGCTGACTTAATGGCTGGTTGGGTATTCTGTTGACATGCAGTCGAATACCACCCATGGTAGAACCTCCCGACGGACCACCAAATGTTTTCAAAGCATGTATTTTGAAATATTTGGCTGGCGTAGCCGAATTCGACGAACAGGAGCCGACTTTTCATCGAAAGCATGGTCGGGGGCGTTCGGCTAGTGTTCGGGAGGCTAAATTCGTGAATATGCGACAGGTCTCCATGCTGAAATTTTGTTCTTGTGCAAGATCGCTAAACGTTTTCTGATTGTTGGGATTTTTGACAGGCAGCTACCTTCGCTAGGGGTCAGAAAACGCTACAATTCTCTGGGCCTTTAAAATCTCCTTCTAGAATTGAACCACATGAAAGTATATTTAACTGTCATCATAATTTAACATTATATCCACTGGTAGACACATACCTTTTTAATAGGCCAGTCAGAAAACCTTCAGTTGGTAATATCTGGGGAGGAACCCGTGTAGAACGCCTGAGACACCGCGGTTGGTCTTGTTGGGTGCGTCCCTCGGTAGCTGATCCGTAATGCCGTGTGACAAACAACCCAAGATTGGTCTTACGTATGATGGTTCAGGCCTCGATGTGTTTGAAGAACACGTGCTTATATAATTATGTAGTTGTTCCTTTATAGTGTAAAATACTGTACATAAAGCTGTGTTGATTGTCTGAAACTGGCTGTTTGAATATTAACATTAAGGTTGTCTACTGTTTTACTGACGTTTTTATGACTTTGTTTTCACCACAGAAAATCTGCAGAGGAATAAGAAATTTACTTCTGATTTCGTATTGCCATGGCAACGGCTTTCTGACTGTCAGTTTTTAGGAAATTTGTTAATTTCTGTTTAAACATTAAGATTTTATGGGTTTCATGTTTAATTACACTCCCATTCTAACCATTATTAACATCTTGTATGCTTATATGCAATTTCTATCATAGAATTTCATGGTATGCCGGGTAAATTGCGCGCGCGCGCAAACACACACAAACACACTCACACACACACACACATACACACACTCACACACACACACACACACACACATACACACATAAAAACAACCACACAAACACAAACACACTAGTTTAGTAAGTTGACCACAATGTACTTTATTCAAATATTAATCGTTGGTAATTTGTAAAAACATACCACTGCTCTTTCAGGATTCTAAAATACATCAACATTGAAATATATTGATTTACAAAACATAGCATCATTGATAATAAGAACTGTTACGATAGACCACAAAGAGTTCTTTAAAAACGAAAATTGCAACCGGTATTACCATATGTAAAGGCCAAAGTAATTTAAAAACAGTAATAATGACAATTTACTTCAAATTGTACCAAACGTAATTTTTACATTTAAGACAATACTTTGCTCTGCTACTATATATTCAAACTAAAACTGTCCATACTTATGTACAATTATACCCCCCCCCCCTAAAGCAATGGGCTGTTCATACACTAAACGTTTTGCTTTTGTTATCTTTCCGAAATTATTAAAATCATTGTCTCTCAAACAGCAACTTTGACCAACAAGCATGCCGCTCTTGACATTTTACATAGCTTTATGTTTCTCGTAGCAATTTAACTTCATAGGCTGAAAAATTAAGTCTTTTATTAATATATTCTATAAATAACGAACCATTTGTTTACTCATTGTATCACAACAGATCATTCCTCCGACTTAGACTTCCTGTCTGCTCTTGAATAAGCTTCGTTGTCGCTGTTAACATTTTACATACTTGTAGCTTCTTTTGGCAATTCATTGTAATATTTTTATCTTTCCCACAATTGATATGATCCTTAATTAAACATAAAAAAGTGAAATAATGAAATCAAATTGACAATGCCACCTGGCCCATGCAATGTATTCATAATGTCTAACAATGGTATTCTTATAGATTTTCGGAAATTTTGTGATTAATACTTGATAAGCTGAAATTAAAGTCTATTATTCTTTATCCCACTAACTCATTTTTTTACTTATTGTACCACAAAAAATTCTTCTTCCAACTTAGACTTACTGCCTGCTATTCAGTAAACTAATTTAGGAAAGTACTTAAGTATTAACATGTATCAAATTCGGACATTGTCCATCACTGATTTTTACTACGTGTAGTATCACTCTGTTTGGATTCTAATATACATTAAACATATTGATTAACAAAACACTACCATGACATGATCGATAATAAGAGCTGTTGTAAAACTACATTTAACCATAATTGCTACAATAGTAATTAAAAGGGAAAAAATGTCAGTCGATATGTGACGGCAAAGGTGTAATGGTCAGGTTCATTTTGAAAAAATCAGTTATGTAGTGATGATGGATGGATGATGAATGTGGATGAAGCATATTAAAATATGAACCGTTCTTTATGCAGAACCGTGCTCAGGCACCAGTTCACACGTATTTAAAACCTTGCCCGGGGGCACATGTATTTTCTTGGATACGCTGAGACTAGCCAGGGCCGTGCCTGATCCGTACCCTTAAGCTTGACAGGCAAAGAACTGCGTATTAATACGGCTCTGAATAAGATGCATTCAAGTTCTCTATGTTGACTACTTGCTTGCACTTAAATATTTCAGACTCCGACAAAAAAAGGATGTAAGAATTGTCATATGTAAAAAGACAAATACCCAGTTCTTTTACTAATATCTTATATTATCTTATCTTACCATTGAAATACCAGTAAAAGTGGTATTTCAATGGTAGTCGAGGCATGAAGCCATTTGATGCATTCGGATCGAATCACGGTCTTTCTATTTTTGGTACTGCGAATTTGACTGAGAGACAGTCAACTCTGTGCCGTAAGATGGATTACTAGCACACGAGGGTTCACTCATGGCCCGAGAGGGAACCCGCCCTATTTGAGGAGTTGCACCATAAGTTGGATTTAAAGTATCTTCTGATTTTCTGATGGCCTGGGACATGTTGGATTCAGTGATGGTCTGAGACATGCCCTGCTGTGCCCGATCATGGCCACTGGTCATTGCAGTGGCAGTGACGATTGTGCCAGTCTCAATGATGGCCTGAACCTGACACTGCCTTGTCTGATCTTGATGGTTATGAATGTCGTCATTGTGGTCATCTTGGCCAATGGCCATTACAACTTCTTTGACGTTTGTGTTAGATTCAGTGATAGCCTGAAACTGATCATGATTGTTGCCAACATCTTTACACTCGTTATCATGACCACTGGTCATCACAGAAACGGTTTGATTTGTGCGCCTACTCTTAACGAAAGCATTTGGATCTCCGTCACTCCTCATTATAAAAATGATTAATCCGATCAGGGCAAAGCCAACTACTGGAACCCAGATAGAGATAATGAGAGCAGCTATGGGCCTCCCTGGCGTAGGTTTTGGGGAGCTGCTGATTCCGGGGTTGTCTGAAGTGATTGCCAGGGGTGAAGCTAGAGTTGCTGTTGGTTTGTTAGTTTTGCCTGCAAGACACGCTGTCAAGCCAGCATTGTGTTTGAAGTACCAGAAATAGCGAAAGGTGGCAGTGCCATTGTTAGGGTTAATAGAGCTTACTTGTATGTCAGCTGGCAGTGTAGCAATGGAGGTCGACCCTACAGAATACGCTGTCGGGCTAGCATGGCTTTCTGTGTTGCCAAACAAAGGTGTTGACACAGTTACTGTTGTCAGTGTTGATGTGGTTGGCTTTTTATATGTCAATTCTTGAGTGTTAACAACTAAAGATGTTAACATTGCAGATGAGGTTTGGATATCAACAGTTAGTGTTGATACGGTGGGCTCTTTACATATCAATTCTTCTGTTTTAACCTTTGCAAGCTTCTGTCCCTTCAATTTGGAGGGTTGGTCACATACTATCTGCTCTTTGAATGAAGGAATGAGGGCAGCCATTCTGCAGTCACAGTGCCAAGGGTTTCTCTCAAGTTTTATGACAGGAATATATGGCGACATGCCATACGCTAAAGGGAAAATGGCAAACATCTTGTTCGCCCGAAGGTCCAATTTCTGGAGTTGGGGCAGATTTGAAAGTGCACCAGTCTCAATCATTGTTATCTGGTTAAACGACAGTAATAGTTCTTTGAGCTGGGAAAGATTTGCAAATACATCAGCCTGAATCGTTTTTATTTTGTTAGCGGACAGGTCCAACTTGCGGAGTTGGGTTAGATTTGCAAGTGTACCAGGTGGAATCATTGTTATCCGGTTGCCGCCCAGGAACAACTGTTGTAGCAAGTGCAGATTTGCAAATGTACCAGGTGGAATCATTGTTATTTGATTAGACGACAGAAATAGTTCTTTGAGCTGGGAAAGACTTGCAAATACATCAGTCTGAATCATTTTTATTTTGTTATGGGACAGGTCCAACTTGCAAAGTCTGGTTAGATTTGCAAGTGTACCAGGTTGAACCATTGTTATTTGATTAAACGACAGAAATAGTACTTTGAGCTGGGAAAGATTTGCAAATACATCAGCCTGAATCGTTTTTATTTTGTTAGCGGACAGGTCCAACTTGCGGAGTTGGGTTAGATTTGCAAGTGTACCAGGTCGAATCATTGTTATCCGGTTGCCGCCCAGGAACAACTGTTGTAGCAAGTGCAGATTTGCAAATGTACCAGGTGGAATCATTGTTATTTGATTAAACGACAGAAATAGTACTTTGAGCTGGGAAAGATTTGCAAATACATCAGTCTGAATCGTTTTTATTTGTTTTGGGACAGGCCCAACTTGCAAAGTCTGGTTAGATTTGCAAGTGTACCAGGTGGAATCATTGTTATCTGGTTGCGGCCCAGGATCAACTCTTGTAGCAAGTGTAGATTTGCAAATGTGTCAGACTGAATCATTGTTATCTGGTTCTCAGACAGGAATAAACGCTGTAACTGGTGTAGATTTGCAAAAGTACCTGACTGAATCGTTGTTATCTGGTTGTCGGGCAAGAACAACCATTGTAGCTTGGGTAGATTTGAAAATGTACAGGCTTGGATGTTACTTATTTTGTTTTTCATTAAGAACAACTTTACGAGCTTGGGTAGATTGGGGAAACAATCAACAATGTGAATGCCACTTTCCATCAAATCCAAGTAATCCAAATTCTTATACCGTGACAGCTCAGACTGACATAGAATCGCAATAGAATTAGATCTTAAACTTAAACTCCTGATGGATGTTTTGAAGTCCTGTGGGATCCTGGTAAGGTCCTTATTGTCACATCGGCAGTGATAAAAATGTGAACACCTGCAGTCAGCTTCTGGCGTGCTCGTTTTCAGGATGATGAGAAGGAAAATTAGTAGTTTGCTTCCCATGTTGTCCTGCCACCTAAAAAGAACAGGAAGCCCTGTTACGCCAAAAACCGTTACCTCTTGAAAAATGGAGGTATCGTTTTTGGTGTGTCTGTGTGCCTCTGTGTGTGTCCGCCTGTGTGTTTGTGTTTCCGCACATTTGTAGTCAACTTCAGAACGCCTTAATGGATTGTTATGATATTGGCTATGTTGGTAGGTCATGGGAAAACAAAGGTCAAGGTCAAATATGGGCCTCCTGGTGGCTGAACCTGCAGAACTTTCGGTTTTTGTATCTTTTGTCCTGGACATGCCACGGTCTTGGACTTTTGGTGAAAGCTTTTCTTGTCAGGAATAAGTGGTGTGGGTTTTGTCCCCCAAGCAGCTTGTTCTGGAAGTGCAGGCGAGCTTCTGCCGAAATCGTTTAAAGCGGATAAGTCCAGAAAGGAACAACGTACTTTCATCATTTGTAGCATGTAGGTATGTTGATTGTCTTACGTAGTCTTACGTATGATGCTGATTGTCTGAAAATGGTTACTCAATGATTTTAATATTTATGATTACGATTAAAATTATAATCATGATACATGGCAGGTCTCGATATACATGAATACTTGTTTTGAAAATTGTAATCATGGTTCAGGCCTCGATGTGTTTGAAGAACACGTGCTTATATGATTATGTAGTCGTTAATTTAGAGTGTAGAATACTGTACATAAAGCTGTGTTGATTGTCTGAAACTGGCTGTTTGAATATTAACATTAAGGTTGTTTACTGTTTTACTGACGTTTTTATGACAGTCTTGTTTTCACCACAAGAAATCTGCAGAAGGATATAAAATTTACTTCTGAAAAAGTTTTCTTTCTCCTTTTACAGAAATGTTTGTCATAATTACATCACAGTGTTTCTGGTGAATCTTGTCTAAGGCGTTTAAAATAAACCTCTGTGTATAGTCGTGTGAAGTCCATGTCACACTTAGCCGCATATGGCCTGCAAACACTAGCCGACTTCAAATTTGCCTCAAAGGCTTGGTACGTTGGTGTTCAGGGGAAGTTCTTGAACGTGTGGCTTCAAGAGATAAGCGTTTGAAGCCTTGTAATTGTAAAAACCATACTTAGCATCAGGTCTAAAGCGTCCACTGGTCCCAACAGGCTATACACATGACTACGTGCCAGATACAAATCAGGGCACAGCACCCCTGGTACCTTTTTCATAAAGACCCTGTCACACATTCACGACCTTCCCCCTTAGTTTCCGAACACCAGCCGACCAGGTTCGGCTGACTTTCCAAGCACTCTGAACAGATTTAGACCACGACTACCTTTGTTTACATATCGAAACGAATTTGTGTTAAATTTGAGTCAAATTTAAATCCCGACCATGCCCTGAAACTCCCGAATAGCTGGTTGGTATACTGCTGACTTACAGTCTTATACCATCCATGGTCCAACCTACCGACCAACCACCCATGTGCATGTATTTTAAATTATTTTGAAACATTCGGCTGGCGTGCTGTTTGAAGTTGTTTCTTCTAAACGGCTGGCGCAGCCGAACATATACAGTAGCTGAATTCGACGAACACCAGCCGACCCAGCCGACGTTGCGCCGAAACCTTGGTCGGGGGCCTTCGGCTAGTGTTCGGGAGGCTAAATTCGTGAATGCGTGACAGGGGCTTATAACTAAACTGATTTCCATGCAGATTTGTTTTTGTACAAGATTCTTAAAAGTTTTCTGATTGATGGGCTTTTTTATCGCCAGCTTCCTTCGCTAGCGGTTAGAAAACGCTACAATTCTTTGGGCCTTTAAAATCTCCTTCGAGAATTAAACCACGTGAAGGTACATTAAATTTTCACTACCTTTCCTTTTTTAACATTTGCATCCACTGGTAAACACATACCTCAAGTTCAGGCCAGTCAGAAAACCTTCAGTTGGCAATACTAGTATATCTGGGGAGGAACCCGTGTAGAACGCCTCAGACACCGCGGTCGTTCTTGTTGGTCTTGTTGGGTGCGTCCCTCGGTAGATGATCCGTAATGCCGTGTGACAAACAACCCAAGATTGGTCTTAAGTATGGCAGTCTTACGTAAGCTGTTGATTGTCTGCAAATTGTTATTTGAATAATTCTGATATTTATGATGACGATGAAAATTATAGTCTTGATACAGGTCTCGATATCCATTAATACTTGTTGTGAAAATTGTAACTATAGTTCAGACCTCGATACCCGTGTATACTAAGTCTCGTTGTTACATACTTGCACTGCTACAAGAAAAAAATAATGGGGGTTTTGCGTCTGTATTCGTAGAGATAGAAAAGTTTTGCCAGAAACCCCCTGAAAAATGGAATAATCCAATGAGCTCGTTTCCAAAGTCCAAACCTTTTGATAAATGAAGGATTGGAACCCAAGAAATATGATATATCAAAAAGAATATGTTTTACAGAGAGAGAAAGAGAGAAGAGAGACAGAGAGAGAGAGAGAGAGAGAGAGAGAGAGAGAGATCCAATACAATTCTCTTTCACTAGGTGTCGTCCATGGAAACTTTATTTCGGCAGTTTGGAATCTGTTAACAAATCATATACATCAAAGTTCATTCAACCCTATAGTGTACTACTTTTTATATCTAGTAGTTCATCGAACGCTATCGCACACTTATTTTTCTTCATTTTTTTCTTCTTCAATTCAATTCTTTATTAAGATATTTTACTCAAGTTTTATTATGTAACGTTATTAAACAACAGTATACAATGAATCTATGCGAAATCTACGCCGTACAGCAAGAAGGACGTTTTAGTTTTAATTTCCTTGGTTACGGTGACCAAGTGTTCTTTGACAATGCCCTGTTGGCACCAACAGTTATAATAATGATAATGATAATAATAATAAAAATAAAAAGTTGATTTGCCCTGTATTTCAAGTTGTTGCATGTTTAACGGTGTGATTTTTTGTTTCACACACAATAGATTCTACTTCAAGTAGACTCGTGAGAACTGCATGATGATTTGAGCTTTGACGAACATAATGGCTTTACCGTCTCATTCTTAAAGTTTCTGGGAATAATCTTACTAGTGTAACGGGAAAAAAAGTAATTCTTACTGTTTACAGCTATATATATGCCGACCGCGCGATTCAGGATTTTCAGTTTTTGTGTGTTGAATGAATTAAATATACAAAGGGTTGAATGCCGCCTGGTTGCCAGACCCATAGCACACTGGACACAAAGTATCACAGTGAGATCACTAGAAAAAAACAAACAAAAACACAGGCAAACAAAATTTAAATAATGCCAGTTGTAGCGCCTCAGCCATGTCTCTGGCCTAGTTTGAAGAACTTTCCCCTTTAGCCGGGCTCGTGATCAGCTATAGTGAATCCCTGGCAAATATGACCAGGCTTATCCGTATTTGGTCAAAGTTTTAACCGACCAGATTCCCTCAGAGGGAGGAGTGGGCATTTTCTAACCTTCCCACGGTCGCGTCATCGTGGCAGCCCAGCTAGACAAACAACCTCACACAACCAGGAATCACCGAGAGCCATTCACAAGTTATTGTAAAGCCCCATTCACACATTCGCACCAGCCCACGCCCGTGAGAATACGTAACCTCCCCGGCATGCCATCATCTCCAAGCAGATGTTTGGAGACGGGTCATACCATTTCCTGTTAGAACCTCTATCTTTTTTTCTGACACAAAACCTCCATATTATCCGTAAAAGGTACAATTCAGAGACCATGTTGTTCGTTTTCTGTTCAAATTTGACTGAAAAGGTACAAAAACAGGTGCTATTGTTGTTATATCGTCTGTCAAACCGCCATTAGAAACACCGGTGCGAGACAAATAGGGTTGCCCTGGCGTTCCGTGACGTCATCAGCCTCACCCCCGCTCACTTGACCCGAAGCGGAGAGCGGGCGTCGCGCCATCTTCGTTCGGTCAAGAAAAAAAAAACACCGACCAGGAAACATTCAAGGAGCTGTGTTTCCTCTCCACGTGCCTTAGAGGATCTCCTAGACTTCCCTGGAAGCAGTACAAGGCGTGAGGTGGGAATTATCGGATTTTTTACTTGTCGATCGGCAACGAAAACATTGAACTCCGCGAAGCCCTACGAACGTAGTCTCGTAGACTCCCTCCCTCCCGCGACCGGACTTGCAACTTGTTTTGCTTCGGTGTAGGACGAATTAGATCGTGAAGAAGTCGCCTTCGTATCGTCTACCAAGATAAAGCATCACACAAGAAGATACTGGACGGTTCAAAGGGCTCAAAGTTGCAAACCCTGACGCCATATCGCTGGACTTTAATACGTTTGGTGTAACGTGATACGATGTTGTGGCGTCATTTGGGGTGACCTCGCGTACGTACGGTACTCTACTGTGATATGGGCGGGCAAGGTAGCAGCCTTCTACACCGTGTCCCGGGTTTCAAACCTCTCCATATCGTGATGCTAGGCCTGGATTCAGCCGGCAAGACTACGGTCCTGTACAGACTCAAGCTCGGGGAGTTTGTGAACGCCCTACCCACTGTAAGCTTCAATACCGAACATATAAGATTCAAGGGGGAAGTCGGGAACAACATGGTGTTTAAAGTCTGGGACGTCGGCGGTCAAGAAAAACTGCGGCCGCTCTGGAGGCCGTATACTCGAGGCACGGACGGAATTGTTTTCGTGGTGGACAGCGTCGACAAAGAGAGACTAGACGAGGCTAGAACTGAGATCTTTCGTGTCGCGAGGTACACAGAACACCAAGGGGTGCCTATCCTTATATTCGCCAACAAGCAGGACCTTCCGGGTGCTCTGAGCGTCCAAGAAGTGGAAGAAACTCTGTCCGTGTCCGACATTAGGACCACCAACTTGTGCCACGTTCAGCCAACTTGTGCAATTATTGGAGAAGGGTTGACAGAGGGACTCGAAGCGCTGTATCAAATGATTAAGAAGAGGAGAAAAATGCTGAAACAGCAGAAAAAGAGGGGGAGGTGACACGCACTTGGGAACAGCCGTGTTGTGTGTCTTATTTGTAAAGGAATTTGGACAATAAACAAATTAGGAGTGAGTGCCACATGGACAGTGAAATGAGACCACAGTTTGACTGGGAAAATTGTATTATATCTACCATTGCTAACGTTGTTAGTCAAATTCTTATTGTATATACATGTATATAAAATGTTTAAAGGGCTATCATTATCAGAATGGTCTTTTTTTTACTTCCCTTTTGAGTTTTTAACCACTTCCTTGTATAATCAATAATTTTTACACCCCAGTCCCCAGTTTTTATTTTAGGAAGATACATATACCTGTGACTGCCTTTCCTGAATCTTTTAAATTGAACGAATATCCCACATTTAATGGTGCAAATGTCATGTTGACAATTTTTACTAAGCAATGGACAATCATATTTATAATGTGTTACTATGGAACACTAATATGTTGCATCCATACCTAATGATATGTATGTTATGAATACACAGATTGGCAAGGTAACATTTCTTTTTGTAGATATATATTTTTTGATCGGATTCAATATTTTATTTTGTATTAATACATGTACGGTATACAGTTTTGCATGCGCAGATTAACATTTTTGTATTAAATTTGATTGCCTTAGTAATTGATGGTACTGTATGCAGACTAGACCCAGAGCTACAGTCCTAGCCTCCTTCACAGACTTTTTGCAGTGACATTGTTTATTTTTCTGGGAGTGCGCTGTATGTGATTTTCTTTTATTATATGGGCTGTCTAATACATGTACTAGTTTGGCAGAGGGAGTTGTGCCTATCATTCTACTAGTACTAGCATGAGTGGTACAGTGCTCTCCACATACAGCTTACCCCCTGAATAAGGCCCTCCCCTGAAAATAAAACGCTCAAACGTAGCCTGTACCAGGCTTCGGGAAGCAGCTTTTAAAGAGTAGAAATTGGCCTAACAGACAGATATCATGCCATATTATTAGCTGACCAACTCCCCTGGCATGTTACCTGTCTATTTTGCAAATTTTTACTCTTTCCGACCCTTTTTTGAAACCTGGTAGAGGCTAGCTCAAACACTGCCCCACTAAAAGTCTGCACAGGAGGCTAATAATTCCACAGTTCAGTGTATGAGTTAGGGCTCAGCTGACAATTTTGTAAGTGCTCCATTTCTTTTACTAGTAATCAATCAAAAGATTTATTGATTTAACTTTGTACATGTACTATGTAACAGGCCAACACAGATGGACTTTTACACTAATTTATTGATTTGTTAACCATTGTTCAGGCAAAGGCCTTTATGTATGCATGTACATGAATGTTTTAATTTCCAAGCATCTGTATGTCTTTATGCAAAGGTTTATATGTCTATCAACTGGTGTATTCCCTTCCATAGGGCAAGGTAAACAACAAAAAAAATGTTACTGTACTACTGCTTGAAAGATGTACAAAACACAGCAAAAAGACATACTGGTACCAAAAAACAAGCTACATAGTAGTATGATATTAATAGTTATGCTTGGTGATTGGTGTATTCACCTGCATACAGGGTACAATCTTCTAAAAGATGATTTTGTAATGCACAAGAAAACTTCAACAACTTCCATGTCCCAATCTATTATAATAATTTATGAAAGTGATTTCATGAGTTGTTCAAAAGAATGTACTTGTAAACCAGTGGTCTGTTACGGTGTAACTCTAAAATGATGGCAAAATGTAACACATGGGTGCTTCTTGTAACACTGTGTGAATAAACGTTGTATATGGAATAACATTCTTATGCGTCTTGGCTTCTGTTGGTAATGTTTCTGTAAACTCCATTCCGTGCGCGGCAATGTTTGTACAATGTATGTGCAAGGCTGGAAATACCACTGTCGTATGCAAGTCAAACTGGAGCTGTGCAGGCATTTCTGTTATCTACGTATATACCTGCACCAGTGCATGAACAAAAATGTAGGTGGTGTATATTTGTTAGGGAGTGAGTATGGAAACCCCAGCATACATGCAAATAGGTTGGCAGCCATTCTTACTACCAGACTGAGTGTAGGTGCTAGTATGCACTTCAAGCCCCTATGTGATATCACACCCTCCATTGTGACTGTTTGAACCTGTGACAGACAGACGTGCAAATTTTCATATGTATAATGTACTGTAATACCATTTATTGTATTATTTTTGCGAATTCAAATTTACCTGGCAGCTTCCATGTCTAGCCACCATTGTGGCAAACAATAGGGCATTTTCATGGAAACTTTCCATTTCAATGAAGCAGGTCAGTTCTTGATTTACATTTCAATTGGTCTTATCTGAAGTTTACACAGCATTTCTGTGTAATGTGTTAAGTGTCCTTTGAACTTTTTTGGCTTTACAAATGACCTCTTCCCAAGCACAAGACTCAAGAGCTACCTACTATCTAAAATTCATGACCCTAGCCAGACCCATGTCCAGATTGCGGGATACCAAAATGGGAAGTTCAGCTGCAGCACCATAACAAGCTCATTGTCAAAATCTAATCATTTCAAGGTCTCATCAAGGAGGTTAAATACATACTTGTATTCAACCTCCTTGGTCTCATCAAGACCTACCCACATACCAAGTTTCATGACAATCCATCGAAACCTTGAGTTATCGTGCTGAAATACATACACATACATACATACATTTGTACATACATACAGGGACAGGGATGACGAATGATGATGACATACATACATAATTATGTACTTCTGTATAATGTCCTTGGTTACATGCACACGTTATGGAAAACATAACCCTGTTGGCAAAAGTACAGTCCCTGTAGAAATTACATTCTTCACAACACAGACAATCGTGATTACACATCCATACCCATGCATATACATGGTACATGTTTGTAGGAAAAACGTCCCAGAATCGCCAGTGGGTGAGGTTTTCAGACTGATTGTCACTTTATATAACAACTGTCCGTCAAACTATGCCACCTACGTCACTGAGTAACCAAGGACATTATAGTCAGATCTTGGAGGAACCAATAGTGATACAGATACATAATGTATGTAATTGTTCAGAAAGATTGAATAATATGATGCATGGAGAAATATTCATTTCCTCGTGAACCATTTAGAAATCATGAAGGCACTGCAGCAGTCATTCTTTCTGATCTCCACTCATCTGATCCTTCTGCTGGGTTCTCAGATACCTCAGTGGTGTCCAGAAGGCTGTTCGTATGAGATTTCTGGAGGGACCGATAGAATCATCTCGTGTAGCTGTCTTGGGCAAGATTGGAAGGGGCCGGCCTCCAGCTTGGTCAAACATGGAGGAAAAATGTCCAGTATTCTCCCATGTCTCGGCGCCATACCAAAGTTTTTCCATCCTGAAGTACGTGAAGTTTCTGTCACGTCGCTCTGTTTGCCAACACTTCTGGAATCCTCTTTGAAATTCCCGAATGTTACGTCCCTTTTCAAATTGTACATCACCAAGTCGAACATTTCGAGGATACAGCCGGGGGCTTTTCGAGGCATGCCCGATGTGAAAAAGCTCTGTCTCGCAGACAATCTCATCTCCAGTTTAGGTATGTATAATTCATTTTCTTCTGTTGACTGAGTGTTCTAGCCAGCCCCCATATTATACTCACTACAATACAGCACTATATGGAATCATATTGATTTTGTGTCCCTGATTGATTGTACATTGTACATTACACACACACACACACACACACACACACACACACACAGTCACACACAGTCACAGATACAAGCACACACACACACACACACACACACACACATACACATGTACACACACACGCAATGTATATATACATGATTGAATATAATAGATTACTAGTACAAGTATATATGATTTTGGCTTTGTTATTTATTATTAACAGAAGCGGACACTTTTGTTGGGCTGGAGTCTCTAACACACCTGTTCCTGGATACGAACGCCATCACCGCAATCTCCCAGTACGCTTTCCGTGGCCTGCCACCGTTACAGGTATTACAGCTGTCCAAAAACTGCCTTAGCACTGTACCCCTGGAGTCTCTCCTGCAGCTCAAAGCAGTCAGATTTGTCACACTCGCAGCCAATAGCATTACCACAATCGACAGCAGCGTTCTACGCCTGAGTCGCATACGGCGCTTCGACGTGATGAACAACAGGCTGAAATGTGACGGGAGTCTGGCATGGTTTGTCTGTAACCTGCGTGCACCGAGCATGAAGTTCATCTTTCACCCCGACTCCCTGAAGTGTGCATCCCCTGCTGGCCTCCGCGGTAATCCTCTCACCTCCCTGCTCACTGGTGATGCTACGGATGGGACTGGATCAATGAGATGTGACGAAACGAGCTCAGGAGGTCTGCAAATCACCAGCGTTCAACCGAACGAAACCGTAATTCCTACTGAGTACTACACCAAGACGCCGTACACAAACAATAATGTGTCAGTCTTTGAGCACACAACAGAGATGGAACGTGTCATTTTACTTGGGGAAAGCCCAACAATCAACGAGGACGACAGAAAGAGACAGCTACTGACTGCTGTTATCGTGCCGCTTGTCTTTACATTGGCTGTGGGATCCCTCCTCTTTATCTGTCGTCGCACAGGATTGGCCTGTCGCAGCCCACCAATGGCAGCAACCCAAGACAATCCGGCGCCATCCCAAGAAGAAGGGGACCATAAAATCGAGCCCTACGCAGTTGTCTATGATGACTCAGCAGAGCTTCAAGCTCCTGACAGCCCCTCGGCGACAGGTGAACCACCCAACGCTAGAGAGACATCCGAAGGCAATGAAACCATCCAGCCGTATGCAGTGGCCTATGTAGACGTGTCAGGGAAGGGGAAAAACGGCAAGCTCTCACCATACGCGATGACATCCCTAACTGATGACCAGACATCAGAAAACACTGTTAAGCCTCATACAGCGAGCTATGGCCCAAGTCACGACAAGATCCAGCCATATGCCGTAGGCTACCCTGATAACGCCTCACAAGCTACAGAAAATTATTTCACGCATCTCCAAAACGTCCAGTCACCATTTGCCCAGTCAGACAACCAGTCACTGCCAACAAATGTCATAACTGAGCCGAAATATGAGAGAAGTCTGGAACAATCCATGGGTGAGGGTCCCTACAGAATGGAGAATGAAAAGGAGATGCCAAATGCAGGTGAGATGTTGTACAGGAGTGGTTCGGAGCCCACAGCTGAAGACCACAGACGACAGGCACCTCGCATCCTGTATAACCATGCTGATGGAGAGTAAAGCCAAAGCAAAAAATAATGTTGTTTCCACAATCTATGGCAATCTACATTGTATACATATACGTCATTGTCATATGAGAACACGCCATTTGGCAGACTTTGTACCTGTACCTTTGATATGTCCAACATACTGATCCTTGTTATTGATTGTACAGCATACAAGGTCATTGCTATTTATGGAAAAAAATAAGTATATTCCAAAGTACAACAACAAAGACTCCGCTCTTTTTCAGTGGTGACCACTACTGTAGTGGCATGTGTGTAGCCTCTACCAGGCTAAGTGAAGTGGCTGGAAAGAGTAAAACTGAAGAAATAGACAGATGATATGCCATGGGAGTTGTTCAGTGCTAACAGTTTCGGAAGCATCAAACTGTACTCCTTTAGTGGACCAACTCCCATGTTGCTAATACATTGTACATGTATGTTTATTTGGCCAAGTTCCACTCTATCCAGCTGCTTCACGAAGCCTGTTAGAGGCTAGCTTGTGTGGCCCAAGGGCTATAGACAATGACACACAGGTGGACATTGCTCATAGACCAAAGGTTTATGAAGGATTTTAACTAGCATTTACATGACTGTAGATGGTATTGCTGAGGCAGTTCATTGCAAATGGTACCTTATCAATGTGTTCAAAATAACTAATAGTAATACAAATGCAATGTGTTCAAAATAACTAATACAAATGCACAGACAGCACTTGACTGATGCAACGGTTTTATTAAACTGGAGATAAATATGTGCCATATGGATAATAATAACGGCCTTTCATATACTCCATTGCACTTCACATGTGACTGGATACATAAACAATGAACAAAGTTATAATAACAGTTTAGTAATAACAGTTAATAATATTAATATGAGCTAACAATATTATTAATAACATTTTATATTCTATTGCACTTCACATGTGACTACTTAGATGAACCAAAAAACCTAACTGAAGTAACAACTGTTACAGTTAAGTTCTTTACAAGTAACCAAGCATCTGAACTACGATTAGTACGAAAAAAACTATACCAACAATTGTTATTACATGTATAAACACACTAATCCTTCTCAAAATGTAGGATTCTGTATGTACATTTTTCTTACATGTATTTCTTAGAACAAATGTTTTCAACATGAAGAGTTTGTTAGAACTGTACTTCATGCAATACAATGTATATACATGTACATTGTATAACCTTGAATTTTAAAGGCAATGTACATGTAAAACTTGGCACAAATGTTTACTTCTCCATGTTACAATTATGCATGCTAAATTTGTGTACATCCGATACATTCATCTGTGATACACACTATAAACATTAGAAGTTATTCTTCCAATAAGTATATATATTGCTTTCTTCCTAAATCTTTGCATTTAAGTTATAACCATAATAATTATGGGTTCACCACACCACGAAGTGGTGGTGAACCCATATTGCTTTTTCTGATGTTTCTTCTCCTCCTCCTCCTCCTCCTCCTGCCACTTCTTTAAATTGATTCAACTCCTTCATTTTTGGGCGAAATTACCTGTAATTTCGTATAGAGGTAGAGTGGGTAAATACCCTTAGGCGTTTTTAAAATTTTTTTGATACAAGCTTTTACAATCGTTTTATTTGCTTTTTAGTGGTCCCCATAGGAAAGTACTGTGGGGGCGTACGCGCGTGACGTAATAAGAAAGGAATTCGGGGGAAGGCCCAAATATGGGCATACAAGCAGGTGTGGTCATGTTTGCAGATGTGGCTGTTGATTGGCTGTTGGCTAATTAATTTATTTACTACCATTTTCACGTACCAGCGCAGCTGGTCCACGCGGTCTCGGCCGTGGGCCATGATACTCTGATATTGGATACCGATTCGTGTGATTCCTATAAACATTTCACCTAACTACGAACTAGTTGGAAGAATTATAGCTGCATGGATGCCTGTATATGATTTTAACAAACACTGAAAATCTGACGCAAAAACTGGCAGATATTTTGCTCTTCTCTGTTGGAACAACGCAAGCGGGACGTCAATGACCTGCGCCCCGCGAGTACTGTAAACAACGGTACGTAATGTGTATCGTCACGCGCGCGCCACGGTATCAACAATTTTCCACAATCTTCACCGACTAGTATTATATATTCTGTTATCGATTTCTGAAGAATCACCAAAATTGTAGAGTGTATCTCCTAGAAAGTCCCTTACTAGTACTTGAAGCGATCGTTACCGCCATGTTGTCCACTTTATATGACATACAATGCAGAGAGTAATGGAAACGTGTCCAGATAGCTCGGTTGGTAACGCGCAGGGCTGCAAGTCCAGACATTACGAGTTCGAACCCCGGTACACTGGATATTTTTAATTATCCTTTTTACAATTTTAACAATTTTAACATTTTTAACAATTTCAACAATTTTAACCATTTTAACCATTTTACATTTTAACAATTTCAACATTTAATTTTAACATTTTCGTTTTAATATCCATTGCTTTGCTTTTAACA